GTGGGTCAAATTAACATAAAACTAGCTGGCACCAGGGGATTGTGTGTTCAGATACATTAATGTCACTGACACTGGAATGTCACTTTTAAATATATTTATGGATATATTATAAATTTTACACTTTCATCTATGTGGTGTGTACATTTGGGAGTATAAAGCATGTAACAGTTGTTTTAAGGTTTATGGATTCCACTGGACATGCTGTCTGCTTGATCCTAAGGAGACTATACAGATTTGTGTATGTAGTCAAGCTTCTGACATCTGGGGGAGGTTCTGAAATATGAGATATTAATCTATCTCTTCCTGTAGTAGTGATTTGAGTGATTTATTATGCATATTATGCATTGAGTGATTTATTGTGCTCTTCCTGCGATAGACTCAGATTGTAAATGGTGATCATTCAATTATTGTGCTATGAATGTTAATTCTGCTATAAAGGACACATTTGCCATTTTACTTTCAGAATCAAAGTAATCAAATCAGTAATCAAAGTTCAGATATTTAGTCCAACAGCTCAAAGGGAGAGCTTTTTAGTGTAGTGTAGGTAGAGGAAAGGGTTTATCAAGTTTTCTGAATTCATAGCAGAACATAGTTTTGAACATCTCTATAATTCCATTAAGTTTTGCTGATCTACACTTTATTATGTAGCTAATACATCTGTTTTCCTGTCAACCAGGCTCTTGTTAATCAAGTGGCAGCAACGGTTCAAAATCGTTACACCAAAATTCTGCCAGCCGGTGAAGCTCTGTGCGGTGTTTTCACTAGAGATTATCGTCATGATGCCCTGAACTGCCAGGTTGGACATACTATTTAATAAATTTGACATCAAGTTATATAACAATGTTATATCCTTTTGACTAGAAATCTAACACTTTCACAAGACCTGTGAAAATAATTTCCTTGAATTTGTGAAGGACAAAACTGCTTCAGAGAAAATAGAAATTTGTTACATTCTAAAGAATGTGAAAAATAGCTGGGCGGTGGTGGCGCACGCCTTGAATCCCAGCACTTGGGAGGCAGAGGCAGGCGGATCTTTGTGAGTTGGAGGCCAACATGGTCTACAGAGCGAGATCCAAGAAAGGTGCAAAGCTACACAGAGAAACCCTGTCTCAAAAAACAAAAAAAAACAACAAAAAAAAAACAATGTGAAAAATAGACTCAGTTCTCTAAAGATGCTTTCGTTTTGATTTAAACTTTTAGTTTATAGCTCATTCATCCTGTTGCTTTACAGTGGGATTCAAAATGATCCAAAGATCTTTACATGCTACCAAAACTTGGTGGACAGCAACATATTATCATAATTACTTTCTCTTTTTAAAGATACTCATTTTAGTTAATAAAAATGTTGTGTTGTGTTGTAGTTAATGAATGTGTTGTAGTGTTAATGAATTTATGGTTTTCTTTCTTATTGAATTTTCAGATCAATAATTAGGATACAATGAAAAATAAAACATGCTTGTAGAGCATTATATTGTAGAATTGGCAGTGTGCTGCCTGGATTGCCTTTCATAGTAACATTTTCCAACACAAATTCTCTATTACTGTTAGATTTGAAAGAATTGAAATAGTTAAAATTAATGACTTTGATTTTTATATGTTTTTTCTAAAATATTTATTTAGTTATAACATTTTTATTTATTCTTTGAGAATGTATACATGTTTAAAGTGCATTATGATCATATCCACCCACCCTCATTTTCTCTTTCTATCCGTCTTCTCCCTCTAACCCACCACACCTCTCCCAGTATCATGTCCCTTTCCCAGCAGCCACTCAGTGGCAATAACTCCTTGGCAGGGGTGTGGCCTTGTGAGCTGCTTCCTCATTCATGCTGGAATTTCAACTGGTTTGATTTTCTGCAGGTCTTGTACAGATAACCACAGTTGCTGTGAGGTCATGAGGGAAACTGCCATGACTTGTGGAGAAGATGGCAGTCCACAATACTCTACCCCTTCCCCTGGCTCTCTCGTTCTTTCCACCTCCTTTACTGACCATTTCCTGAAGGGCTTGGGAAAGAGGTCAATATTGGTGTTCCATTTAGGGCTAGACACAGTTGGAAGGCCCAGAAACAAGAACCTGCCTGCAAATTTGATACTTTACTATTTTGTTTAATAAATTGAAGTTTCATGTGGTCTAAACTAATACATCACAAGTGTAATGAATCTAATTCTTAGAAGTAGTACCAGATTTCTACTATTAGAAGATACATTCAGGACTCATAAGCTTTACCTCGTGTAGTTTTATAACTATGCTCATCCTAAGTGTTACTTCACATGATACTGTTGTTTTTAGGTGCTTATTACCGTGCCTGCCTGCTTTGAAATTCTGCTACTTGCTCCTCATCGCCAAAACTGGGTGAA